GCAGTTTTTTGGCTCTCATCTATACCTGAAGAACTTGTCGATGCAATAATGATGATGATACCATGAGACTCATCCAGCTTGCTATCGTGGCTATAATGCTGTTTTTTGATAATCATGAACGAGAGAAATCCGGCTACTAAGTTGTACGGTTCGCCTAGCGCAAGTTGTCGTACTTTCATTGCCCATCTTTTGGTTGAGCTTACCGATGATGTCATCATCACCAGGCGCTCTTGATCTGGAAGACCTCCAACATCGAGCAGCTCCGACAACGTCGCTACGGTCCAGGATATCATCTTCACCGCAGTCGCCAAGGCGCGGGTTGATGGTATGGACCGGACGTACCTGGAATGGAAAGACCAATATTTTCTTCGTGGACCCCGGACTGAAGGTGAGCGCTGGCGGTTACATCGAGCAACTCGAGGAGAATATCCTGCCTTCATGTCGTCGCCCGTACCATCTTGGACGTACTGCTACAGGATTGGGTGCCAGCACGTGGAATCGAACTGCGTTGGAACTCTCGCCTACTTGGAATCGAAGGGCGTTGAGAACCTGAAGAAGACGGGATGCCAAGTTTGTCATTTTTCACCTGACCTAAACCCCCTCAATTACCCGGTTTGGGCGGAGCTCAGGAGGTGGACGGAGAAATCAACGATCTCGCTGAACTCAGGCACCGAATCACGGTCGCGTGGCAGAATCTCTCGATGGCGTTCGTCCAGAATGTGGCGGAGTTTCGTGATAGTGTACAATGTGTTGTTGAATTTGATGGTGGAAATGTCCAATCAGAATTAATAAAGTGTAATTTATTTCGCCTTGAAAGTCGAGGAAAAAATGTGTCTTTTTCTGGCTCTTCCTGCATATACCCCATGAAATCGGTTGCAGATGTTTTCTTTACTTCGGAATACTGCAATATCATCATGTAGCGGATTAGTGGCATTCGATCTTTTGCGACCAGTCGCAGGGGATTTCACACAACTAAGAGGTATTTAGTCTCCTTTTCCTTGAAAATCGAAACCTTGTAAAGTTGTCGCTCATACCAGGTCGTAAAAGAGCTCAAGCAAGGTCTTACTCGTCAGCAAAAACTCGAACGTCGCTTGAAAAGAGAGGAAAGAGAAGCTGCCCGCAAGCAGTACACGTTCATGGAAAGGATCAACATTCGTCGAATGAGGAACCTGTGAGTAATTTTAGACCTTTCAGAATTGGTATTTAAAGAAATCCCATGAGGAGGGCTGCTTTCAGTGGGCGTATGCATTATTTCTCACATATTACTCAATTGTGGATGTAAAACAGATCTTGTGGTACACGCGGAAGTTGCGTAGTACAGTAGAGTGTCCAGAAATTGTATTTTGCGCATATGTGAACCATTATTCAAAGGCAGTGGGCACGATGGCTGAGGGCGGGCGCTTACTGCCAACGTCGTTGGGCGAAGGGCTGGAATCTGTCCAAACGCCTTCTCACAGCCTTTCTACCAGTGACATTATTGGTAACCGCCCGCTTGGCAGCTGGTGCTTACTGCCTTTAAGTGTGGTTCAACAGAGCGGGGCCCCGTCTGGAAACGATCCAGTGTTGTATAGTTGTGAAGTCGTTTTAAGAAAGATCTTTGATGCGAAGATGTCGTCTGCGGCGAAGTGCACTACCCCTTTGGTGAACTTTTTTCGGTGCTTTTCGACTTGGGAGGGGCGTTTTGCACTTCCCTAGCTCCTTTTCGTAGCTCATGTTAGTGAACAGGTAGCACTTTGGTGTGCGGAGGTTGGCTTCGGAGGGTGGGGCTTCTGCACTTCGGCTAGTTCCTTTTGCTAGCTCGTGTTGACTAACAGGTCTTAGTTTGGTAGGACCTCTAGATACTTGTAAAGCTGCGAAACGGTAAAAAGAGCCGCTTCGGTTACAAGAGTGCACAGGTGTTCCCGAGGGGCTTACAGGCTCGTTGAGTGATCTTGGGGTTACCCCCTCCAACCGCCGTGCGCACTTGTTCTTGTGCAAATTGGCTCTAAAGTCAGAAACATCCTACAAATACGCTTTGACAACTAGCTTCCGTTTCCATGAAAAATATTGAGGTGATGTGAATTGATAAATCTGGATACATGTTATTGCTACCTCTTAATTTGTTCCCCTCAACATTTGTTACGCTATACTTTCCTGCGCCAAAGTGTTACCTTTTTCAGCCTTTCTCCTTCTCAACAATTCCCGGGTCGCCTGTGCCGTGAAGATGAGGCAAACCTTCCGGATAAACCACTGACGAACATCTTTATAAGGTTCTAGTTCAGTTTCCAAAGTGCTGGTTTGGGAAGGAACTATGCCACTTTTTTAGGAGCAAAGTGAAAACACAGTTCTATTCTGTAGCCGAAGCTCTTGCAAGGCATCGAGAGCTACAACAGCCCTCCATCTACAATAATCCAAACGCACCCATTAGATTACGACTTGAACTTAACATGACACGGAGAGACAGGTTGTGCATGGTGGTTGTTTTCACCATTTCATTTCATTTTCCGTTTCTTCAACTGCTCTGAAAACGGTGCTCGCACATTTTCGGAAGTGCGTTGCATACTTGCGTCGTTTACACTCCAGCGTTTGAGCTTTTCAAGGACACTCGAACGCTGCGCGTACGCTCAAGGGCTGCGTGTTGCGTCTAAACGACTGCGATGAAGATACGCTTCCTGGTTCGCTTGGACGTACGCTCAAAAACCCTAACACAAAGTAGAACACGCCTATATCTAAGGTTTGAAGACCTAAGGACTCATGAACTTTACACTTCGCAGAGTTTATCCTTTCCCTTTTCATACATAGGTCTCCTTTCACTCCCATTACATTCTATACATCTTTTTTGGATCCTATAAAACAGAAGGGTTTTCCTTTGTCACTGCGTAGTAAATTTCTCTTCATCGGCCTTTGCACCTCGATTTCCGCTTGTTTTCCTACTGTAATCCTGATGAAGTCACCTATTCGTAAGTTTTCAGACCAAAATGGTCTCAAATTCTGATGAAATTGTACCAGTGCCATATCCGTTCAAACATACCGAAAAGCGTACGATTCTCGCATTTGTAAATGACCCAAAGCTTCAAGAAATCGCAGTAGAATCTGGAGCAGAAATTGCTCTTGGTCAGGATGTCGTTAAAAAGGTGAGCAGTTCGATGACTTCGCCTGGTGTTGATTTTATTGTACGGTTAGCACTTACTTCTTAAATTTATCCTTTTCAAACCGCATTATTCAATTCCTGCAGATCATAAAAGGTCAATTTCGAACTGATGACTATGATTTCTGCGTTGCTCACACAGATATGAGTTCTTATATCCTGCCTTTGCGAGGAATCCTACGCACAAAGTTTCCTACGCGAGCAAACGGTAAGACGAGATGTTTGTGTGAGATGAGATCAGTGAGATCTCTTTCCTTTCCAGGTGGTCTTGGAGAAGACCTTCCCGATCTTATACAAAAGTTCAAGAGTGGCATAAAGCTTGCCATCAAAGGAGACCCTGTATACCCTATATGGGGTCTCAGTGACGCAGTTGTTGGAAGAGTAAGTGAAAGTTCTTTGGATATTGCATGCTCGCATTTTAGTTATGTGACCCTGTTCGGCTTATCGGGTGTATTTGGCACTTGAACTAGTTTCTCCTTCTGCTAGTTCCTGCTGATTTACACGTGTCGTTTCGATAAGACCTGCAGACTTTTTTCAAGTGTAAACGAAGCTCCTTCTACTGAATAGCTCCACAGGTGTCCAAATCTGATAGTAACCACCAGAATGCTCCCACCAAGCCGATTTGCGCCTAGATTAAATCGGTTCAGAAGTCTTGTATCGAATTTTCCACTTTTTTTCACAGATACAGCATCGTTGTGCGAAACCCATAGGGGGGATCGTACTCACACCGCCATTTCGCACATCCCCATGCTGTACCCTGATTCCATAATCACGTTTCTTCTCCCGCA